TCTCATGTTCCATTCAAGTACATTACTTGCCATTTTATTTCTAATAAAGTCTATATTTCCATCTAGAAAGCAAAGAAAAAAAATCCTCAGCTTAGTTATGTTGATTTCATTAACTATTTCTTATGTTTTACTTCATATTTCATTTGCCTGCTCCAAGGATTTGGCCTTGTATCAATCTCATTTGCCTGCTCCAAGGATTTGGCCTTGTATCTGCAAAATGTCCCCAACCCATCTTCATATGCACTTTTGCCTAACTCACTTATTTAGGTCAGACTCACCTGAGACTTCATGTCTTGACATTTTCTGCAATTTTACTTGCTCCAAATGTGCTTGATTTTGCTCTAAGATTGTGAGATCTTTCCAGCAAAGCGTCTGGAAATTTCACCTCCAAAATGTCCTATTAGCTCTATATCTAAATTTCAACTCCAAAATTCCTCAGGTCTTCAAGTTTTTGAGCCTATCACACAGGGCTGGGAAAGCCTTCCTCATGGAACACAAATAGGTTAAACAAGAAAGAGCTCCTTGCACTTCTCTTAATTAAAAATGCTGTTAAAGTTCCATAGGCTGGGAAGGAAGAGTCACAAACTGGTTAGTCCTCTTTGTGGTTGTAGAAAAATTTCAAGGCACTCACAGGCATGGTTTACAATGATGAATGCAGAGATATTTTTCCCACCACAGAAAGTAAACATGCACACCAAACCAGTATAACAGGTTGGAGTATACAGTACTGCTACCCTGCGGCTGCAACTAAGAAGCAGACACTCCGGCACCCCTTGCCTAGATTTTTTCTTTTACTTATTTTAAATAGAAGTAGTATAGTTTTTAAAAAATGACTCATTATGAGAAACACTGCATGCATCTGCCTACGAACTTTCAAGTCAATTTCACCTGGTAGTAATGAAAACTAACTAAATGTCTTTTAAAAGCTAATGTAATTTTTATGCAGTCAAGAGAAAACTCAAGCGTGGATGGACCAGTTCAATAATAGCTTCACTGAATAGCGAACAATGTTTTCAAAGCCATAAATATAGGAACTAAAAGATGTCGATATGGAAAGAATTTATAAAACCAGTTTCCCCTTTCAAAATAGGAAACTAAATGCCTCTAAAAAATAATGCCCCAAACTCTACCATAAAATTACAGGTTCTGGGTGGCAGGACGAATACCTGAGTTCCAGCAATTGCTTCTTTGAAATCAAGGACTATTTTTTTTTATCTTTGTAAGATCTCTGCTACTCTACAAAGTAAAAACATTGCACTTGAATACACCCTAGGCTCTTTTCTAGCTTGAAAATATCAATATCCTACTGATGTTTTCCCCTAACTCTGGCATCCAAATTCTCCTTCAGCGAGTTGAAGAGTTCTCTTCACCTGGTGCTTGCTATCTTGCTCTGCATTCTGCAGCCTCTAGTCCACTCCTCTATACTTAGAACATTTTCCCCCCTGTGCTGTAGTCTTTTGTAGCCTTTAGAGTAGGCATCTTCTAGAGCTAGAGAACTAAGAAGAACTGAAGAAGGAGAGCTATTATTCAAAGTGCTCAAAAACATCCAAGCAGCTAAGTGGGCAGCCAGAGGACTTAGGGTGTGTTGAAAAGCCCAGGGGAGGCCCCCACTCAAAGAGAGCTTTCTCTCTCAAGGTTGTTCCAGTACTGAACTCAAAAATAGCTTTTATTCAAATAATCCCAACGATAAATTAGTATATCATATCATTTACAAGGAGTTGTGTGGCCTTGGACATATTTAGACCAAGGATGAAGAGAAGAGAAAGAAAATGTTAAAAAATTCATGGGGACTGGGTTTCTGAGGGAGGAAGGACTCAGTGGGTGAGGTCCATAGCTGGATGGTGATAGATCCTGTCCCCTTTTTACAATTCTTACTTGGATGTACTCTGCCTGTTAATGAAAATCTGGGAGAAGTAGAAAATGTATGTCCTTCCTGGCAGAGAAGAGGTGAGAAGTCCTTATGCCCCTGGGTGGACTCTGAAGAAAGCTTAGCCTAAGGCGCGTTCCAAGTAGTTGCCTTTCAGGAAGGGAGCTTCGACCCTCCCATCGTCCGAGCCACGTCCCTCCACTTTTGCACAGAGTAACATAGTTCCACTTGGTGGTACATGTGAGTTTGCAGAGATTATGCAAGGAAATGATTCTTCCTTTCCTCAGAAAATAAAATTGCTTAAAAAGCACTTACCCCTATTCTTTGTGCCATATTATTTATGTATTTTTATTCATATTTTCAAAGTTTAGGAAAAAAATTCTAGCATTCTATCCTACCCTGGATATTTCATTTGATAAATCCTGACAATGTGTTAAACCTTTATGTATGATATCTTTACATAATTCTCTGTGAGGTTACATTGTCATTGGGACTGAAAAGGAGAGATTACCTTTTATGTTTGAAAAGATCATTGAGATCAGTTTACATTAAGCTGAAGGTAACATTGGAATGACTTCATTTTCATTCAGACAAAAAATGGGTTCCCAATACTACTGGAAACACTAAATATTGATAGCATATGGACCCTACTAACCAGGGCACATGCAGCCAGCTCCCCAAGTGTATAATTGGGTCAGACACACAAAGAAAATGGCACTAAAATGAATAATCTTAGACAAAGTCTATGCCTAGGCTTCCAAATTGTAACTAGAGATGGTCCAACGAATACAGACAACAAATAGATAATACATATACACGACCTTAGAAAAATCATTATTCAAAGCACACGATGGAGTTTTAGCAATAATCTATATGATAATTGAATATCCTCATAGCCAAAACATTTAAGTCATCTACAAGTTTAATGTATAAAACACAGTACTTGAAAATAGTTATTTCTACTAAAGAATGTACAATTTGTAAGGACAACTGACAATAATTAGTATTATATCAAAGAATTTCAGAATCTTTTTATAAAAGCTCCTAAGTCAAAGGCAAAATTAAACAGCATTTCAAAATAACTTTTTTATTTATTTTGACCATTTTGAAACTCAATATCAGATATAAGATAAGGTATTGTACAGAGAACAGAATAATACTATGACATTCCATAAATTAAGACTCAGGATATATTTGATTTGTTTTATAAGATAGTAAACAAATTTATGAATATCTCTTACCTTCATGCATACAAATAAAGTTGTAAATAATCCTCACATTATAAATTTCTTTATAATTTAAAGAAACCCAGAAATAATTTAAAACCAACTGAAATACTTTCATTTCTCACCTGATTAATAGGTGCCTTAATAATCTTAAAGCAAATACTTGGAATAGAAGCATTTCAATATTCCTAGAACATAGAGCTGAAGTTTTTGTGGACATACCAAGGGTACATTTCAACTCTGATAAAATCAGAAGTATTTTTTAGTGAAAAGTTTTCCCAGAGTGCACAAAGGAAAATATTCTAGGATAGAACTGACCTCATAAGTATTCCCCAAATATTAATACAAAGGTTTACAAATCAATGCACATTGTTCTTTACCTTAAACCATGACATTCAAATCATTTATTATAGCACATATTTTAGATGTTGTGCATGTTTTTCCGACAATATGAAGTTTATTTGGGGATTATTCCACAGGTAATACACCCAAATAGCCTAGGATAGGATATTCAGGTGGCTGCCAGTCACAGACATTTTGTAAAAGATCATTATTATATGAACAACTGTAACTATCTAGATGCTTCCCATATACTTTTCTAAGGAAAAATATTAGAGACAATTAAGGTATATGTTATAATCATGTACATAATACCATTTTGTCCATAAGACACATACAAATAAATTATTTTCATAGAATCATGCTAAAGGAGACTTTTACCTTGTTTTTCTTCAATAGAATTAATTTAAAGGCTTTTCAAATTAATCTCTTAAATTAAAAAATGCTTTATAATAGCATTTTAAATGGTATGTCAAAAATTTTTAAGGAAACAAACAGAGATAACAAAATAAGATTTTGGGATTCTTAAGCAGGTGGAGAAAAGATTAAAGAAACCAAAGGAAAAAAAATATAATGATTGAACTCTAAGATGGATGATATACTTCTATGACCAGGCAGGTCTATGATCATCTTATGATATTCTCATGTGTGTTATATTTCATAGGTATAGTTATGTGTTTGATTATGTACATTTAATGGAAAACTAGGTGGTTCGGAAATTTTCTTGGTGGCATATTGTTGATAACTTCACAAGAATATAATAAAACCAACAAAAATGCAATTATCAGGGAGATTTTTTAAAAATATGCTTGAAACAAAACTTTACCTATAAAGGTGGCAAATAATTCACAAAAAATTGACAACGAGAAATCACTGCAATAAATAGGCACTAGGCTCAATTTCCACTTTTTTCTTTATTGAAAAAACTTTTATTAGTCAAAAACATAAAATGTGTGAGCCACCTTGTATTTGTTTCTATTAACAAGCCTAACCATGGATGCCTAGTCAAGCCAATGTCAACAAAGCCAATCCCTTCAAAGGGCAAAGGTGTCTGATTAAGTAAGACTTGTAAAATCAACTACACTCCCCAACTGATATACTTTCATCTGAGCCCCTGTTTTCTACCTTTAAAAAAGTGGCTGTATTCATTGTAAAAACCCTTAGCGGGTAAACCCCAGAGATGGCAAAACTTCATTACAAATAAAAATTCCACAGATAGAGACAAAAATCAATATTCTGTCAATTTTGGAAAAGGTCCAACATGAAAATGCATTTGAAGTTGATTGTACCATTTCTCCAGCATTACACTGGGGATTAAGGATAAGGCTTTCTCTACCTTCCACCAAATTTGTGATTCTTTGTTGGTTGAATTGTTGGACAAAACAGAGATAACCTGCTTCTTCTAAATCAACAGCAATCTCCACCTCTTTTCCCCACCCCAAAAGAACACCCTGAAACAGGACAGGGCACCCGTGGGCACACACATGCATGTACACATACACACACTTCGTAATCAACACTGCTGAAATTTCTGATTGGGAACATTTTCTAAAGCGGTTGGCACTTACCTTGCAAAGACGTGTTAGGTAAAGTGGCTTCATTCTCTCCCATTTTGTTATCTCTTTTTAAAGGGGGCCAAGCAGTTTCAAGTTGAGTCAGTTACCCTGCAAGCTTTGTGACCTTCTGACTTTCTACTGTAGTATTGTAACAGAACACCACCTGCTTTCTTCTGTGAATAATTACCATTCCGCTTCCTGAGTTACCTGGGCTTGCAGGACCTGTTTTACTATGAAGTGAGATCACATCCTTTGATCCAATGTACTGCTATTAAGGTGTGTTTCACAAAACACGGCTTTGTTTCAGTTTTGATATTAACTTTTAAATTCCTCCTTTCCCTTTAGTCCAGAACTGCATTCCTATTTTCCCCTGAAAGAATGTCGATACTATCTACACACCCGTGGTTCAGAGCCAGTTTTGTTTCTTTCTTCCTTAGTGTTCCCAATCTGTTTCTCTTAGAGAACTAAAAGAAAATTTAAAGTAAATTAAACAACATCCATTTTTCAAAAACATAGGGATAAAAGGAACAGCATGTTCCTTTTCTTTTATGTAAGTTTTGTGGCTGCGGTACAAAGACAGTTTCTGGAAGATCTCTAATACTTGCTGTGCGACTATAAGCAAAGAATATAACAATTTTGAGACTCGGTTTCCTTAAGTGTAAAATAAAATAATATCTACTTTAGAAGGTTAGTATGAAAATTGAAAGCAATAATGAATGTGCTAAACATTCTGAATGACAGATAATAAACATAAAACAAGTGACTCTCCTTTTCCTCCTTCCTCCTTCTTCCTTCTCTTGTTCTTCTGATGAGTGGAAAGAATGCTGAACTGAAACACTGACGTCACTGACCATGTTCTGACATCAGTTGTGCTACTTATTAACTAAGACCTTAAAGAAACTGTTTAATCCAATATTGGAATGCCTCAAGGCCCTTATTTGTTAAAGGAGAATACTGATATTTGTATTGCCTTTTTAATAGGAACATGGTGAGTATTAACTTAGATTAACTGTTGTGTCTGAAACAAAAATAATCTCCAGCAATGATGAGTTACAAATTGGAAATTTATCTTTAAATATTCATTTCCAAGTGAGAAAGGAAAGAGATCACAAAATTAAGGTAATTTATTTAAGCTTCATCTCCCAAAGGGCACCTAGAATAAAAAACAGTCTCCATTTTCTCCCTCCAGAATTCCTTAACTTTTGGCTTTAGTCAGACAAGTAAAAAAAAAAAAAAAAAATCTGAAGCTCACACTGTTCCCTTTACAGTTCTGTACTTTCAATCTGAAAATAATCTATATACCATGTTTGCTAGTTTATTAACAAAAAAATTGGTTACATAAGTTATGTAAACAACAGAAACAGCAAACAGCTACAACAAGTATTTTCAAAAGTATTAGAAATAAAAACTAACATGGCATTAAAAAAAATCCTCATCACAATTCATAAATGTATCTTTCATTTATTACTTCCCTGGCTCTCAGTTTTCTCATCTGTAATATGAGGGAGCTAGACTATTCATTATTGAAGGCCCATTCTATCTTATCATCATAATGCCAGGAGCCTGTGATTTTAAATCTAGGTTGTGGTTTGTTCCAGAACAGAATAATCCTTCAGCTAGTATAATTGCATACTCTAACATATATATTAATATTATCATACATACTTTACCAAAAACAACCTGAAATTGAATGTTTGCCAATAAAACACTAAAATCATCACATTCTGACTTCTCCATAAGAGGAGCAACACACATATCAATCCTCACTGATTATGGAAAACTTGGAAATGTATTTACATACCTGCCCCAGGCACCTAAAATTAGTCAATAACAATTATAAAACACTTATTATCTATGAGCCAAATTATGGCATGTGGGAAGCTACAATGAAAATAAAATAAAGAAGTCACATTCTTGAGCCAAGAAAAAAAAAAAAAACTAAAAATATAGACACCAGAAATGTCAAAAGTTTTTGTAGATGCACAGAAAGTAACATAAATATATATTCAGTAATATTGAACCAGTTGAAATACTAATAAAGTACCATGTACATACATATTTCTTCTCTTCCTTTTGGGCCTTTGTACAAGACTGGAAGTACTTCCAGTATGTTTTAAAAATATATCTGGATGCATACACATTTAGAATTGTTATGTCTTCTTGTTGAACTGTACCCTTCACCATTATATAGTGACCCTCTTTGTCTTTCATTACTTTTGTTGATTTAAAAACTAAGTTATCTGAAATCAAAACTGACACACCAGCCGTCTTTTGGCTTCTATTTGCTTGAAATATTAATAAAATCATCCTCATATAGCCATCTGGTCTTTGACAAAGCAGATAAAAACATACACTGGGAAAAAATCCTTATTCAATAAATGGTGCTGGGAAAACTGGATAGCCACATGTAGAAGACTGAAACAGGACCCACACCTTTTACCTCTCACAAAAATCAACTCACACTGGGTAACAGTCTTGAACCTTAGGTGTGAAACTATTAGAATTCTAGAGGAAAAAGTTGGAAATACTCTTCTAAACATTAGCCTAGACAAAGAATTTATGAAGAAGACCCCAAAGGCAATCACAGCATCAACAAAAAGAAATAAATGGGACCTGATCAAATTAAAAAGCTTTCTGCACAACCAAAGAAACTGTCAAAAGAGCAGACGACCCACAGAATAGAAGAAAATTTTTGTAAGCTACACATCCGATAAAGTGCTGATAACTAGAATCTATTTAGAACTCAGGAAAATCAGCAAGGTAAAAATCAAACAACCCTATCAAAGTGGGCAAAAGACATGAACAGAAACTTTCCAAACTAAGACAGAATAATGGCCAACAAACATACAAAAAAAATGCTCAATATCTCTAATCATCAGGGAAATGCAAATCAAAACTGCAATGAGATATCACTTATCTCCAGTGAGAATGGCCCTTATCAAAAAGTCCCTAAACAATAAATGTTGGCATGGATGTGGAGAGATAGGAACACTCCTACACTCCATCCACTCCTACACTCGTGGATATGGAGAGATAGGAACACTCCTGCTGGTGGGACTGCAAACTAGTGCAACCTCTGTGGAATGCAATGTGGAGATACCTTAAAGTGATACAATTAGATCTACCATTTGATCCAGCAATTCCATTACTAGGCATCTTCCCAAAAGAACAAAAGACACTCTATAAAAAAGACACCTGCACTTGAATATTTATAGCAGCACAATTCACAATTGCAAAGATGCGGAAACAATCCAAGTGCCCATCAATACATGAATGGATTAATAAAATTTGGTATATGTATACCATGGAGTACTATTCAGCTATAAGAAACAACGGTGATATAGCACCTGTTGTATTTTCCTGGATAGATCTGGAACCCATTCCACTAAGTGAAGTATCCCAAAAACAGAAAAATAAGCACCACATATACTCACCAGCAAATTAATATCAACTGATTAACACTTAAGTGCACATAGAGGAATAACATTTATCAGGTGTTGGGCAGGTGGGAGGGGGGAGGAGGGGATGGGTATATACATACATGAGTGTGACATACACCATCTGGGGCATGGACACACTTGAAGCTCTGACTCCGGAGGGGAAGGGAGAGAAAGGAAACACACGTAACCTTAACATTTGTACCCCCATAATATGTTGAAAAAATATTATATATATATAGAAAGTTTCATGTGCCTAGAAAACTTCACCTCTCCTTTGCGTGACTAAATCATACGCAGAAATTCTTAAAACCAGTATGGATTGAGACCCCTTCTATGTGCTCTCAAATGGATCTCAGATGTCCCTTAACAACTCTAAACTTATTGCATTGTATTGTAAGTATAGTGGTCCCTTCCTATTTGCTGGGGATACTTCTAAGACCTCCAACGGGTGCCTGAAGTTGCAGATAGTACTGAACCTGACCATCATCCATCAGAACATGTTTCTGTTCGTGTCTTCCACCCACAAGTTTAGTGCCTTTTCTATCTTAACTAAGAACTTTACACACACTTTGGCTGTAACTTCTGCGGTTTGAGGTGTGACGACAAAACTAGCACAAATGTCTTGTTCTTTCTTTACAATTTCACAGATAGAAGATTTGTTCTTACAATAGATCTTGGCAATTTTAGCATACAATTTTTTTTCTTTCCTTATTATGTCAAGAACTTTCACCTTTTCATCTAAAGGAAGTGCTTCTTTTTGGCATGTCCAAATTGCCAGTATCACTACTCTTGTATTTTAAGACTATTCATGGCTGGGTGTGGTGGCTCACGCCTGTTATCCTGACACTCTGGGAGGCCAAGGTGGGTGGATTGCTCGAGGTCAGGAGTTCAAAACCAGCCCAAGCAAGAGCGAGACCCCATCTCTACTATAAATAGAAAGAAATTAATTGTCCAACAAATATATAGAGAAAAAAATTAGCTGGGCATGGTGGTGCATGCCTGTAGTCCCAGCTACTCAGAAGGCTGAGGCAGGAGGATCACTTGAGCCCGGGAGTTTGAGGTTGCTGTGAGCTAGGCTGACGCCATGGCACTCACTCTAGCCTGGGCAGCAAAGCCAGTCTCTGTCTCAAAAAAAAAAAAAAAAAAGACCATTCAGTAAAATAATAGTTACTTGAACCAAGCACTGTGATACTACAACTGTCAATATGATAACCAAGATGGCCACTAAGTGACTAATGGGTTTATACAGCATGGATATGCTGGATGAAAGGATCATTCGTGTTCTGGGTGGGATAGACCGAGTGGAATTTCATCATACTACACAGAATGGTGCACAATTTAAAATTTATAAATTATTTCTTCAATTTTCTATTTTTGGACTGCAGTTGACCACAAATAATAAATGTTGGAAAGTGAAACTGCAGATCGGAGAAACTACTGCAATGCTAAATTATTTCTGTTCTTGCAAGTTATTATTCCTGAGACCCTTTTTTATACTCTTGGCCATATCCCTAGCACCTAGCACAGTTCCTAGCACACTGTGCCTTCAGTGGATTATGTAAAAATGAATTACATTATCTTCATCATAAAGGGAAAATCAATGTTTTCAAAGGAGGATGAGGATTAGCAATAAAGATGATAGAGAAAATGATAGATTTTTTTCCAGGAAGGAAAAAAATGACAAAGTTGAAAAATAAGGGCTCCCCTGCTCCCAGACACCCCAAGTGGCTCCACAGCAGCCTCTGTCTCCCTGTGGTCTGCAGGGGCCATGGAAGTCGTGGAGAGGACTCTTGGATAAACCAGAAGCCGGGAAATGGTACATACATGGGAAAGATTTAAGACACTTTATTAGACACCCAAACAGTCCCACACACCAATCAGTGGAAGAAGTCCCCTAGCTCTGTGCACCGTGCTGAGGTCCACATCCCCATGGACCTGAGCAGAGGTCTACATTCCCACATGTCATTCCTACGGTCTTACATACTGGCCAGTGGGCCGTGCCCCTATGTACCTGCACATCAGCTGATGGACCATGCTCCTGGGGACACACACAACATCACACCCATGATCCAGCTCTCTGCCATGGACCTGATAGCCTCATATTGCCCCCTGCTGCATACCACCCTTACTCCTAGAGCTGGGTAGAGCAAACACCCACAGCCCTGACACCTGTGGCCACTGCCTAGATTGCCTGCCAAGCAGCCACTGCCAATGCCACAAGGAGTTCCAGACAGAGCAATCTCCTGCAATGCCTGCCTCTGTGAAGAGGGATTCACACAGCCCTCTGCCCAAGCCATGCAACAGTGGCCAAATCAATCTTGAGCAAAAAGAATAAAACTGGAGACATTATACTACTTGACTTCAAAATATACTACAAGGCTATAGTAACCAAACCACCATGACACAGGCATAAGAACTGTGGACCAATGAAACAGAACAGAAGGCTTAGAAATAATTTCATACAACTACAGCCAACTGATTTTCAACAAAGGTGGCAAGAGCATATATTGGGAAAAAGATATTCTTTTCAATAAATGGTGCTGGGAAAACTAGATATCCACATGTAGAATGAGACTAGACCCTTACCTGTCACCATTTACAAAAATTAACTAAAATGGTTAAAGACTTAAATATAAAACCCTACAAACGAAAACACAGAGAAACACTTTACACCATTGGGGCTGGGCAAGGATTTTAAAAATAAGACCTCAAAAGCACAGTCAATAAAGGCAAAAATAGACAAATGGGATCACATCTAATAGAAAAGCTTTTGCACAGCAAAGGAAACACAGTGAAGACACAACTTTCAGAACAGGAGAAAATATTTGCAAACACACATCTGACAAAAGGTTAATATCCAGAAAAAATAAGAACTTAATTATACAGCAAAAAGCCAAATAATCTAATTGCAAAATCGGCAAAAGACCTTAATAGACATTTTCCAAAAGAAGACATATAAATAGACAACAAGTACATTAAAAAAAAAAACCCCAAAAAACTCAACATCAGGGAATGAAAATGATAATTTGAATCATAATTAGATACCACTTGACTCTAGTTAGACTGGCTATTACCAAAAGACAAAAGAAAACAAGTGTTGAACAAGATATTGAAAAAAGGAAACATTTACACATTGCTGGTGAAACTGTAAATTAGTATAGCCCCTAAGGAAAACATATGGAGGTTCCTTAAAAAATTAAAAATAGAACTACCACATTATCTAGCAATCTCACTACTGGGTATAAATCCAAAGGAAATGAAATTGATATGTCAAAGAGATATTTACACTTTTATGTTAATTCCAGCACTATTTATGATAGCCAAGATATGGAATCAACACAAGTGTCCAACAATGGATGAATAGATAAAGAAAATGTGGTGTTGATACTTAATGGAATACTATTCAGCCATAAAAGCTGAAATCCTGTCCTTTGAGGCCATATGGGTGGACCTGGAAGACATCATGCTAAGTGAAATAAGCCAGACACAGAAAGGCAAATACTGCATGCCTGCTCTCTTACGTGGAATTCAAAAAGAAGAAAAAAAAAAAAGAAAGAAAGAAAGAAAGAAAATGGAGTTGCTATCATAGAAGCAGAGAGTAGATAGAATGGTGGTTACCAGAGACTGGGGAGGGGAGGAAGGAGGTTGGTCAACAAGCACAGTTATAATTAGATAAGAGGAACAGTGTTGGTGTTCTATGACACACAGTAGGGTGATGACAGTTAAGGTA